TCGGGCTCAACGATCGGCTCTTATATAGTGCGAATCATGGATGGTGGGCAATGACGAGGCAGTTGGCTTGTGGTTGGAATGTACGGGCGAAGCAGGCTGACGTGGAACAATATGCTGGTGTACTAGTCTATTGGCAACAATAAATGGGCGCTAACTAGGGTGATTGTGTGGCTGATTTGGAATGGTGGACAGTAGCGCAGTCGAAGTTTTGATACTACAGTCGAAGTTTACGGTGGTGGTCAGCACTTCTCTTAGCGATGACATTTGCATTTTTTATTGCTTCCGCGGCAGTGGTGCGGGCAGCTTGCACAATCTTGGCGAATTCTGCAAGAGCGGGAAGGGTGAGGATTTTCAGAAGATTCTCGCCATGGCGAAGAAGCTCGAGTTTTTCTGCCGACCAAGACCGGGGTCCTACGGAAGCAGTAACTAGGGACATCGGTCTCGTGGGATGAACGAGGGCACTACAATACATGCCGTCGCCGTCAATATCGCTGCCGCATCGTTCAAAGGGCGTTGCTTCGCGTGCAATCGGTCGGGACACCGTAAGAGTGAATGCCTGGAAAACGCTTAGGGAAAGGGAGAAGCTGAGCAGCAGAAACAGACCAAGCAGCAGGGAAACGCTGGGAGTCAGTAGCAGACGCGCCCTCTACTGACAGGTCACGCCGCTCGCCTGACCCAACCGACCCTCACCGAGTGATTGAAAATCGCTAAGATTCTGCAAGCTGCCCGCCATGGGAACAGCCCACAAGGAGGCGATGTCGAGCTGGAAGGGCGAGGTGGTGAAGGCTGCCATGGAAGAAGAGATCTACAGCCTCATCGGTATAAGGACTTGGGAGCTGGTCGAAGGCCCACGCGGGGTGAACATCATGAAGAACCGATGGGTGCTGACGACCAAGTACCGCATCGACAACACCGTCGAGCACGAGAAGGCAAGGCTGGTCGTGAAGGGCTTCACGCAGGTGTACGGTGCCAACTACGACAAGACGTACTCGCTGGTGAGCAGCTACGTCACGATGAGGATCTTCCTTAGCATCGTCGCCGTCCTCAACCTCAACCTAATGCAGCTCGACATGAAGAGCGCTTTCCCACAGAGGAAGCTCGACAGGGTGATCTATTTGTACCAGCTGGACAACTTCGACGATGGGACCGGCCGGGTGTGTAAGCTGCTGAAGAGCCTCTATGGGCTGAAGCAGTCGCCTTTGCTGTGGTACAGGGCTCTCGACGGTGTGTTGCTGGGCGCTGGCTGGAAGAAGAGCCAGGTCAACGAGGCGCTCTACTTCAAGGCCGGCAACAACGGAGTGACCTGTTAGGTGCTGGTCTACGTCGACAAAGTGCTCGTCGCCAGTAGCAGCACCGCGATGCTGAAGGAACAGAAGGAGCTACTGGAAGCCGCCTTCCAGCTGCATGAGATCTCGCCGATTGTGAAGTACCTTGGGCTGGAGATCGTGCGCGACAGGACGGCCAGGAAGCTGTGGCTGCACCAATAGGGCTGCGCCGACAAGCTGCGCAGGCGCTTCATCGACGAGGAGCAGGGCGGTCGAGTCTTGAAGACGCCGGTCTCAGTCGACGCCTACGCTGAGCTGACGTTCGACGACGAGAAGGCCCAGGAGCATGAGGAGGAGGAGAACCGGCAGAAGGTCGGCTCTCTGCAGTTCGCAGCGACGACGACGAGGCCGGATATCGCGTTTGCCTACAATATGTTGGGGAGCAGCCTCATGGTGAGGAGCGACCAACAATGGCGCGAGGTCGATCGCTGTCTCGCCTACCTCGCGGACACCCGCGACACCGCCCTGGAGTTCGGCGGTGGGCCAGAGTCGCTGGAGCTGATCGGCTTTGTGGACGCCGATGACGCGGGCAACAAGCAGAACCGGACGAGCACGGGCGGCTACGTGTTCGTCTTCAAAGGGACCGCAGTCTCTTGGTCAAGCCAGCGCATCAAGTGCGTGATGCTCTCCTCGACCGAGTCAGATTATGTCACGGCCACGGACGCCGGCAAGGAGGGGCGTCGACTTCGCTTCCTCCTTGCGGAATTCAAGCTGCTCGACGCTGGGAAGCCGACCATCCTCCGCGTCGACAACAAGCTGGCAATCATTCTCGCTTAAGGCTAGGGGCTGACGGGCAACCTCAAGCACATGGAGCGACGCTACGCCTGGCTGCAGGACATGGTGAGGCACGGGAAGTTCATGCTGAAGTACCACCGAGCAGCTGGCGGACTTCTTAACAAAGGCGCTGCATTTTCCAGCTTTCAACCGGTGCCTTGTCGCCATCGGCCAAGTTCGTCTGGCCGATGTCGTTGACGACGACGATGAGGTGCAGTAGTAGGTGCCGTGCCCTTCTTCTCGGCTGGTGCGGTAACGGCGTGCTGTGTATGGGATGCACGCCGAGGACGAGTTTTCTCCGTGGAGTATTGCTGTGTGGGCTGGAGGCCCAAGCGTGAGCGCGGCAGAGGAGTGTTAACGCGAGCGGAGTGTTGGCCCCGCCCTCGCTTGGGCAACGCCGACGACTTCGTCGGATGTACAGGAGAAGCAGCCGACCGTTCGCAGTAGGAGAGCTGCTCGACAGGCTTCGTCCAGCTGAAGGGGACCGCTGTGGTGTTGCTGTCGACCAGGGAGCTCAACATCTGCATCTGACTGGTCTGGGCGACAGGCGGGATGCCGACCAGGACCTGCAGTTCGACCGGGAGGTCTACGGAGCAGTCCGTCGACCTGCAGTTCGATCGGGAGGTCATCAGAGCAGTCCGTCGACCTGACAAGTATGCACCAGTCGTCGAGGGGAGCTGGGCGAAGTCAGCTGTCAGTTCTGGTCGACGAAAGGGGTTCGTCGACCAAGGGGTAGCCCGACGGGAGCTGTGGTCGACTAGAGGCACCTGGTGGTCGACCAGAGGCACCCAGTGGTCGACTAGAGACACTGGTGGTCGACCGGAGGCACCGGTGGTCGACCGGAAGCACTTGGTGGTCGACCAGGCCGACTGGATAACCTGCTCGTCGAGCTATGCAGAGGCACGCGAACGTCTTCAAGGTCGCGATGGCGAAGGCGACTTCGGGCTGGTATCCCAAAGTCGATGTGGCTCGTCAGGCGCGGACAACAGCCAACAGATGCACAACGAGGCAAGTCGGGCCAATCGTCTGCGCGCACCTGTGAGCGTGCATACTATTGTCTTCTATGGGGCAGCGCTCGATAGCCGCTCTGCTGCAGCGTTGGCATGCCGTCGAGCTGCAGTATTGGCAAGTCGCCTTTCTGCAGTGCTAGCGCGGCTCCTCTACACAACGCGTGCTGACGGTCGACCAAGCTGTGCTGGCGGTCGACCAAGCTGTGCTGGCGGTCGACCAGGCTAGCTGCAGAGTTGCTAGGTGCGCGATGTAGTCAGTGTTGTCATTGCTTGAAAAATGATTATGTGATTTCGACTTTGCTAGTGGAAACTCTTATCGATTTCTCCCGTGATTGTGCAAGCGCAAAGGAACTAGGCAAAGCTACGATCCCTCCTAGTAGTTCATGCCAACCCCCGTAGTATAGCTCACTACCGTTGTAGATTGATTCTCCGTAGGGGGTAGGTCTATTAATTGCCAGTATATTATATTTGCAAGCACACTATACCAATGGAGCATGGCATTCTCCTAATGCTACACATAATCAAAAGTACAGTGAAACAATCAATCATATTGCAGATTCCTGTGAACATCCGAAAAAACATATTCCAAGATAAAGCAAAACACCAGAGAGTGGCTGAAAAAGTTGCAGATCTGGAATATAACGTGTTATACCTGGAAGCCATGGGAAACGGGGAAACGAGGTTTGGGCTCGTGATGTTAAGAGCTCGCTAAGGAAGAAAGGCAGAGACAAACACAGAACAAAATTAGCAAGAAACTCTTAGAATCAACTGTGTCTAGGGCAAACACAGCAGTAGGCTCAAAGTCAGGGTGAGTAACGACAGTAGCGAGGAGACGAGTGACAGTAGGACAGGCAGCACGAGCAAGGTTGGACTCAGGGTCAGGAACGTGTGGAAGAGAGGACACGGGAGGCTCAGGCAGGACAATGTTATGTGATGTGATCATTTGCATTCACGTCTGTCTGCCTCCCAACATATGTTCGTGCGTTGCATGCGTGGTGTGAGCGTGTGCAAGAATTTGTGTTTGGTATGGTTTGGATTTCCTGAATGTGTGTAAATGTTATTTGGCTTGAGAAGATATGTGAAGTGACTCCTCTGTTCAAGAGCTTTCCGACGAACCAAGAATCGCCGCAATCGGAGCAAGAACGAGAAAGATATTATCGTTCCAAGTTTTGATTGTGGTGCGGCGACTTTGAGAAATTTACGGGTTGACTCAATATGGGGAACAGACTTTGGGGGTTGGGAAATTCGTCTTTTCTACTGTAGATGCCGCTAAAGTGGTTGGGAGAAACCAAATTGGGTTGGCAAGTGTGGCCAACTTGGGTGAGGTGGATTGTGGAGGTTGGAAAATGGACAAAGGTCAAAGTGGTGTTCCCATAGGGAAGGGATTTGGTGTGCTCATGGGGTTTCCTTGGTTGGGAACCTTCTCTCTCGTCCTTCTCATCCCCTCCTACCTGGTTTCTAGCTACTCTAATTCTCTTGTGTGAACTTGTGAGACTCTTGTGATTGAGTTGAGTTTTCTATGGCAGCTTACCCCCTAGTGCGCCGAAATTCATAACTCAAGAAATACTTCACCGTTACGTACGATTCAAATTGGGAATTGTAGCCACGGTCTAGAGCTAAAACATATCCGAAATTGGTGAAGTTTTGACAGTGCGTTTATTATCGACGGCGTTTCTTGCGAGCGCGACTATTCTGTCCAGAAATTGAGATCAACGATTTTGTGATATTTCGGCTCCTAATCTTCATAGACTCTGTCCTTAGTCTCTAACAGACAACACGCTATAGAACAGAGGAAGGATGAAGTGCCATACTGTAAGTGCTTGGGATAGCAGGAGGACAAGGACGGGCGACACGACGAGCACGAACAGGTGTGGAAGCACGCGTCTCAGGCTCACGACGCTAAGTTAGGGACTCAGTCACCTCATTGTGAGAAGCAGGAGCAGGCACCGGGGAGCCAAGCAGTAGTTGTGGCTGAGACTAGTTTGTCGGTGGACATAGGAGAGGTGGAGTGAGCCCAGTGTAAGAGGAGAGACTAAGAACCTGGCGAAGGACCGAGTCAGGCGGCGGTAGGGACGATTGCGGCTGCGGGTAGAAAAATGGTCGACGCGGGGCAGTACCAGCAACTCTAGCTCCTCTGGCACCAACAGCACGAGCACCTCGAGCACCAGCAGCACCACGAGCTCCGGCAACGCCGGCATCTCTTGCACTAGCAGTACCTCCAGCACCTCTAGTGCCAGCAGCTCCAGCAGCACCTCCAGCACCAGCAGCACCACATGCTCCGGCAGCTCCAGCACCTCTAGTACGCGCACCCCCAGAACCAGCAGCTCCAGCACCTCCAACACCTCCAGTACCTCCAGCACCCCCAACAGCACCTCCAGCACCAACAGCACCACCAACTCCGGCAGCTCTAGCACCTCCTGTACGAGCACCTCCAGGACTAGCAGCTCCAGTACCCCCAGTACCTCCAGCTCCAGCGCCTCCAGCACCGGCAGCACGTCCAGCACCTCCAACACCAGCAGCACCAGCACCTCCAGTGCCAGCAGCTCCAGCACCTCCAGCACCAGCTGGACCTCTAGGACTAGCAGCTCCAGCACCTTCAGCACCAGTAGCACCTCCAGGACTAGGAGCTCTGGCACCTCCAGTAGGGCCGTACCTTCCACCACCAGGACTGCCTCGCCGAACAATCCACGCACGAATCGCCTGCGGCAAGAGCATCTCAAGCAGATCAAGCTACGATGGCTGTCCAGCTCCAGGACCTCCAGCAGGGTCACCCACAGCTCCACCGCCACTAGGACTCGCAGCACCCCCAGATTCGGCACCCTCAGTCGTAGCACCCCCAGTCGCAGCACCCCCAGAACCCTCACCCTCTGTCTCAGCACCCCCAGGCTCAGCACCAATAGTGTCAGCTCCAGAGTCCACATAAGTAGGCTGTGGAGGCGGCGAAGACGGACGAGGCGGAAAACCAAGGGGGGTCTCCAAGCGTGGAGAGCGGCGAGTGGCCGCCGTGTCATCAGTGGCGGGGTCACCCCCCTCAGCTGGGCCAGAGGAGTCAGAAGAGATCTCCAAAGGCTCAACCAAGGGGGGTGGGTCTACCTGAGACACACCTGAGGGAACAAGACCCTGTGGGGGGAGGGGGTCTACTGGGGAGGGGACTCGTACCAGGAAGAGAGGCGCTAACGGGACTAGGTGGGACGCTTGTGGGTGTACCCTGTAGAAAAAGACAGACTTGTCAAACGTGACGCCCTGGGAGGAGAAGACTTGATGGTCGCGCAGGTGGTAAAACTGCCACGGCGGGGCGTCGGTGGGGAAGCCAAGGAAGACGCAGCGGAGATTGCGAGAGGAGAGCTTGCTCACTTTGGCATCGCAAACAAGGGAGAGCGCGCCCTAGACCTAGAAGACCGACGCATCGGCAACCTTCCCCATCCACCGGAGTGTGGGCGAGGTCTCTGGCTCAGAGACACAGGGCCAGAGGTTGAGCTGATGCGCAACGTATTAGGCCGCAAACGGCCACAGAAAATGGGGAGCAGCCGTATGGATCATGGAGTACGAGCAACCTCCATGATCAAGCCAATGCATCGTTCAGCAGTCCCACTCTGCTGAGAAGAGGCTAGAAGCGTGAACGTCTGGCGGATGCCCTTGTCTCGACAGAACTCCTCAAGGAGGCCAGAAAAGAACTCACCACCCCTGTCAGAGTGCAGATGCAGGACTGGCAAGTCCCGACAAAACCGCTCGCGCAGCTGGCAACGAGTAGCACGGATCTAGGGGATCAAAACACCGCTAACGTCCGCTTTGGGCCGGGCCCCTAACGTCCATGCGGAGAGTCTGCAGAGGAGCAGTGGTCGGAGTAAAATCGGAGGAGTGAGGAGCGGCGCGCTGCGCCCCTTGACGCAGGGAAGGCACGGCGGTGCAGGCAAGCGTGGGAGGGAGGGCAGGGACCTGAGAAGGCCAGAGACAAGAAGACGGGAGTGCATACCGTGGAGACGCGGCAGCGAGGGGTGACCTAGGTGGTGGTGCCAGAGGAGAGTCTGGTGAGAGAGTACCTAACACAAGCAAGACGCTGCAAGCTGACCAGACGCAGACACCCAACTCGACGCAGCCACCTGACCTGACTCAGCCACTTGTGCAGACGCAGTGGTCAATGTGTACAGGCCGGATCCAGGCTTATGAGTGAACGTAGCAAGGTGACGGCCAGTCCGTAAGCACTTACAGATCGCCACGCGCTGTCCTCCAGGAATGAAGGTGTCAACCCATTCATCCTGGAGAACTGCGTTGCTCAACAAGTTCGTTGAGAGCGCGGGGAGGTGGAGACCCGACTGATATCTGGAGGGGACTGCCGGACACGGGAGGACAGTGGAGGCTCGCGCAACTACTGGGCCCCCAGTGGGATCAGCGAGTGAGGCTGGGACAGGTGCTGCGAGTGGTGTGACCATGGTGCAATCACGAAAAATGCAACGTGACGCGTCTGAGTCAAGTGTGAAAGTGTGCAAGGCCTCAGCTGAGGCAGGACCTGGCAGTAAACGCACGAGCACCAAAAAGTGCGGAGATAACTAATGCAATGGGAGATAGACTACAGGCTAGGCACGAATGCTCGTGTGTGATCTCTGCCTTCATTCCCTAGTCGTTTACTTGTGCTTGCACTGCTTGCTGGGGAAATTTTGGCAAAAGTTTCACCAGCAGAAGTTCACAACAATGATTCAGGAATGATAGCATCAACATTGGCAACACAGACTACATCAGACCTAGCACGGCTGCTGGTCGACTGCCAGCGCAGCACGGTCGACCGCGTGCCAGCACGACTTGGTCGACCGCACTCCACTAGAGTAGAGTCACGGCTTGCCAACGTAGCAAGTCCAGCAGTTGCCGTGCACGATGGTATACCCGTGCCGCACCCGCTACTCTGTAAAGTCCAGCGGACTCACCAACGCACCCGTGCACGATGGTATACTCGTGCGTGAAGAGTCCCTTGAGTAGCGGATTCATCCCCTCAATTTGTATGGCGGCAACGTGTCCAGGCCGGCTCAGTGCGTCTGCCTTATTCTTGTGTCCCGGCTTGCACACGATGTCGTAGTCGAAGTGCGTCTCGAGGAAGTCGATCCACCTGACCTGTCGCCTGGAGAGGGTCGGCTGCGTCTTTAGGTAATTCAGGCTGGAATGGTCAGTGTAGACCGTGGTCTTTCTCCCTTTGAGGTAGCATCGCCATGTCTTGATTGTGAAGATGATTGCTAAGGCCTCTTTGTCGTGAATCGCGTAGTTGAGTTCTGCCCCGTGTTTTTTTTTTTTGTTGAGGTAAACGATTGGTTGTAACCCTTTCCCTTGGTCTTGCATCAAGACTCCTCCAAATGCTTGGTCGTTAGCGTCAGCTTCAATGACATAGTCTTTTTCTTGACCTGGCAGCATCATGATGGGTGCGGTCTGTCAAACATTATATATGTTGTGTTAGTTTAGGCTACAATGGGTTAGCCTTTAGGGGGTACACAATTCTAGGGTTAGGTACTTGTACTCATTTCACTGCTAGTTCATTTCATTCCTGTTCAGTGATTCCAACATGGTATAGAGCAGGTCCTTCCTAGGACCAAAATTTTCTAAGGGCCCACCACTACATAACTACCTACCTACCTACCTACCTACCTACCTGTGCCCTAGGGCGTCTCGGCGTGTCACGCCCCTAGAGGCCCCTCTGGACGGCCCCGCGCTAGCCCCGTTCAGGCCCCGTCGGCCCCACGCCCGCTCTCCCTAGCGGCCCCGTTCAGGCTCCGTCGGCCTCTTTAAGGCCCCGTTCAAGCCCCGCGCTAGCTCCGTTCAGGCCCCGTCGGCCCCGTTTCAGGCCCCGTCGGCCCCGCGCTAGCCCCTCTCAGGCCCTCTCGGCCCGCGCTAGCCCCGTTTCAGTCCCCGTCGGCCCCGTTTCAGGCCTCGTCGGCCCCGCGCTAGCCCTTCTCAGGCCCCGTCGGCCCGCGCTAGCCCCGTTTCAGGCCCCGTTGGCGTTGTTTCAGGCCCCGTCGGCCCCGCGCTAGCCCCTCTCAGGCCCCGTCGGCCCGCGCTAGCCCCGTTTCAGGCCCCGTCGGCCGCGCGCTAGCCACTCTCAGGCCCCGTCGGCCCCGCGCTAGCTCCATACAGGCCCCGATCGGGCCCGCGCTAGCCCCGTTTCAAGCCCCGTCGGCCCCGTTTCAGGCCCCGTCGGCCCCGCACTAGTCCCGTTCAGGCCCCGTCGGCCCCTTGCTAGCCCCGTCAAGGCCCCGTTTGGCCCCGCGCTAGCTCCGTTCAGGCCCCGATCGGCCCCGCGCTCGCCCCTCTAGGGCCCCAACCGGCCCCCTGCCGACCTCGCCGACCCGTGCCCACCACCTAGAGGCCCCGGGCGGCCCGTTCCCGCCGCAGCACACGAGGGAGAGCGGGCGGCCCGTCCCCGCCGTGACCCGAGCCGCGCGACCCGAGCCGCGCGCCCCGAGCCGAGCCGCGCGCCCCGAACCGAGCCGCGCCACCCAGCCGAGCCGCGACCCGACCTGAACCAAGCCGCGCCGCCCTGCCCTACCTGGTTCGTCCTACCTGCTTCTCCTACTACTACTGCTGCTATTTCTACTGTTCCTATGGCTAGCCCATAGGTTCTCGTGTTCGATGCTGAGGGCCGCCCTATGAAGTTTGACACCTGGCTCGATGACCTGCACCTCTACCTACAGCTCACAGCCAAGGATGACATCTCACTGTACGATCACGCCCTAGGCCATGTCACTGCCCCTGCTGCTACTGGTGACAGCACTGCTCGCTCATAGTGGCAGACTCGTGATGCCCACGCTCGCTTCGCCATTCGCAACTCCCTGCCGATAGACAAACGCGAGCACTTTGGTCAGCACAAGACTGCAGAGGCACTGTACACAGCTGTAGTTGCTCGCTACTCCTCACCTGCCTCTGCCGCAATAGGCTGTCTCTCCCTCCCCTACCTGTTTCCTGACCTGGCCTCCTTTCACACAGTCGCTGACCTCATCACGCACCTCCGTACTAGTGAGGCCCGCTTCCGTGCCGCCATGCCTGCTAAGTTCCTTGCCACGCACCCCCCTCCACTCTGGCTCACTCTCTACCACCTAGTCACCCGCCTCCCTGTCGCTGAAGGAGCTACTTGCAGCTGAGACTAGCATAGTCGCTGTAGGTGCCTCTCGTGGCGACCCCCGTACCCCGTTCTTTGAGGGGTGTTCTCCTTCCCCCCTTCTTCCCTATGTCGCCTCTGCTGCTGCTTTCGACCTTCTTGGAACTGAGAAGGTCGGCGCTGCGTCTGCCTCGAGCGGACGCCGCAGCGGCAAGGGCAAAGGGGGCAAGGGTGGTGGCGGTGACGGCGGGGGAGGCGGCGGTGGGGGCGGTGGAGGCAGTGGGGGTGGTGGCAGCAGCGGCGGGGGAGGTGGCAGGAGTGGAGGCGGCGATTGGGGTGGCGGTGGACGAGGCGGCGGCAGGGGTTGGGGTGGTCGAGGAGGTGGCAGCGGTGGTGGTGGCCGTGGAGGCACTGGCGGTGGCCAGGGCCAGCAGCACACTCCCTCGCCCCAGGAGGTCCGTGAGTGGTACTCTCAGCACGGGGGTGGGGGTGGTCTTAGCTGCACGTACGTCATTCGCACTGGTGACCGCACAGGTCAGCAGTGTGGACGACCGCACGCCACACAGCGCTGCTTCTCTCGTCTCGACGACGCTTGGCGTGTTCAGTTCCCTCAGGCCATTGAGCTGCCCCGCTGGCTTGA